GGGCACCTGGGGCTGCAGCGCTTTCACAGCCAGCGAGAGAGAGGGGGCTCGTGCAGCGAGACACAAGGCTCCCACCCTGCCCACAGCCCACCGCAGGTGCCGTCAGAGCAAACACGGAGGGAATGTGTTTGCTTTGTCTTTCCTTTCCTTTCATTAGTTCTAACTGACACTGAGGCTTCCCTCCCACTCCAGGATTTTCCTTTTTTTTTTTTTTTTGAGACATCTATGTTAGCTAAAGAAAAGCTGAACCTTTAAGGAAATCAGAGCAGCATCCAGCCCTGAAGTCACCCAGATCCAAAGATGGACTGCAGGCAGAGATGAAGAAAATGACAGGGATTGTAACTAGAAATGCACCAGGCTCTAACCTTGTGCCAAAATTTGTACACTGGGTTTTAGATATTTTCATTTGCAGACAAACTATGAAACTAAACTGCTTCATCAGATAAAGTGGAAAGATCAGATGCAGAACTTTAGGACACCACTTTGTGTAGCAACGATATCCAAATTCAGGGCAACCTGTTAAAGACATGTGTGTGCTCAGAGGGGCCCAAACAATATCACTTCAATTAGATTGTAGAGGAACAAATGATGGCATTACTCAGTTTTTACTATGCTGAATCAAATACATATTTACAACACATACTATGCTTTCCTGGAAAATATATCAAATTAATGTTTGTAAAATTAATACAAGGCTGCATTGATTAGAATTAAGTGCAGTGCGTAGAAAAAAGTGTGAGATTGCGTTTTTCCATACCACTTTGGATGTTCCACTCCCTGATTCAGCTGACTTCTAGAAGAAGAAATAAAAGAGATGAGAACTTTTTAAATAAAGCACTTGTACTCAGTGTAAAGCAGTGAAAATAGATTACAAACCCTGAACATCAAAACATTATGTTCTGGTAATCTAAAAAATGTGGAAATTAATCTCTATTCATAAATTGTTCTCTCTTGGTACATTCAGTGCAACTAAAAAAATCTCCCAAAAATCTCATTTTTACTTTGACACAAATTAAGACTTACAGAGACAGAACACAACAGTGCAAGAGGACATCCTCAGATGTTTTGTCTCTGCTACGTCAGTATCAAAACCAGGGAGACTGTACCACAGTTTAGTGTTCATAAAGACTCAGCCATCCAAAAAGAAGGTAACTTAAGCCAAGCTGTGTATCCCTGGTGTACAAATAGGTTCCAGATGGAGCACTTGAGTTCCTAAGAAAGAACAGTGATCGTCTAGACACTTGGAAGCGAAGGTTTACTGAAGTGAAAAAAGCAGTCATCTGACAAGGAAATAACAGAACTGTCAGCAGCGGAGTCTTTAGAGGACTTTGTGTTCAGATATCTACAATGTGATGAAAGTGCCAAAGTGCCAAATGTCCTACACCTGCTATACTGAGTAAAAATAGTAGTAGAAGAGTCACCTGAAAGCAGTTCCCAGGATGTTGTGCGATTTAGGAGCCCTGTGACAAAAAAAAAGAGTCTTACTTGCCAGAATTTTCTTAAAATGAGCTTGAAAATGCTACCATATTTTAGGAAATATTCCTTAAATTGTAAAACTTGCTGATATTCCACAGACTCATTGATCTGTGTCTCCATGCTCCTCATCATGAACCAGACATAGAACCATTGATATCGTTAGAGAACAGTTCATACATCATCCCCAGTGTCCCATGAGCAGAGGCATCAAAGGCTGCCGTGGAATTTCGGTACAAATGGAAAGGCTCGTGCTTCCTGCCAGTGCTAGAACAGCACCAGGCTCGCCACGACAGCCACAAACCTCTGGAAGATGAGGAAGTACAAGGAAATACTTTAGATTACCACACAGTGGTTTCTTCATCTGTTTCCTTTGAAGAACATACCACAAGGTTTCAAGTAACGTGTGTTTGAAGGTCTCTCCACCATCACACCATACATTCATTTTTCCCAAACATTTAACACTCTACCATTTGTTTTGGCAATGTTTCCAGCTAAAGGAATGCAAAGCTCATCTGCCTGGTTAATTTTCCATGCCAGAACAGCAGTGCCATTCTTTCCTTATCCCCACATCCAGGTGTTTATTTGATCTTGGATGCTGGCAGCATCTATCCTCTCATTTTAGGGCAGCATTACAGTACCAGGAGAGGGTGCCATCCAACCAGAAACAGAGGGTGCCTTGACGAGACAGCACTAAGCAAACATATTCAAATTAACGCCCAAAACAAGGCCATGTATCTAAGCGTAACGAAAGCTGTGGCGTCCACAATTAGACTTTGACACCTGGAGAGGTGAGCCGCTGGGAATGGGATAATGGGGAATAGCCTCACAAAGGAGGAAGTCGTCCATTCTTTGTGGATGCTAATATTGAAAAGAAAAGGACTGAAAGTGACTAATAACCTCCAAAAAATGTTGTTGTGGGTGCAGTGACAAGGGCTTGAAGCGAACTCTGCCCCACCACTCAGTGTGTCTGTTTGGCAAGCCCTAGGGGAGAAACTATTTGATGCTGCTTCGGGTGGGGCAAAAGAAGCTACAGACGTATTGACAATGTGGTGATCATTTTTAGAGGCTTTGAGAGACTTGAAGTCTGAGTGCAATAAAGCAGAGGATAAGATGGACTCTGTTCTGATAACCTCCTCTGCAGTAAATGAGATTGTGGGAGATGTGAAGAAATAGGAACTGAAAGTGAAAAGAAATAGGAAATCAAGGAGAAAAAGCGACAATTACCTCAATAGAAGGGGGCAAGCAACTGGGAACGATGGGAAGCAGGGCTTCAACAGAACACAAGTTTGTTGACAAAAGGGCTGGAGAAATCGAGTAGCGCTGTCAACAGCACTGACTTGATACAGCTCCTGGTTTGGGTATCGGCCCGTGTACCGGCGGCGAACTCTTCAAATATCTGTATGACGGGGCCTTGGGACACCAGAGGCGCCAAGCTTGGGGACGCGGCCACCCGTGGGGACGCCCCGCGCAGGTACAGCCGACAGCCCCGCGCGCTGCGT